AGCAAAATTCGAACAACACAAGGCAGCAATTAAATGGCTAATTTAGGGCTTAAAGAAGTGGCCTTCATACCAGAATTTTCCAGCAAGAACCGGAGCTAGCAGGGGAAGAAGAAGCCAGCGGCAGAGAAGAAGAAATTCTGCAGGGGAACTCACGGGATTTACCCAAAATTAAAGGAACCCAACTTAATCAAAGCTAAAAGGATGAAATCATGGCTGTTTCTTACCAGAAAAGCCGAGAATTCACACCCACACAAGCAGAGGCCGACGGACAAAGGGAAGAAGACAGCGCAGATCTGGAATTTCCAGCAAAGAGGGGGAATTTCTGGGTTTACTAGGTGTTCTACGACAAGAAAATAGGGAGAAATCCCCAAGCTTTGCCGGATTTCCGACCGGAAATGGGTGGCGGTAGTTGGGGGGCTTCTCGGGTGCAGAGGGTCGGGGGGCAGAGCATCGGGGAGAAGAAGAAGATGAGGATGAGCAAAACACGTGGCTGAGGAGAGAAATATCAGCCTTGATCCTTATCCTAATTTCCTTTCTTTTTAACCCCTCAACTTTTTAAAATTTTACGATTAACCCCCAAAACAATATTTTCCCTCAAATAAGTCCCTTATTTAATGCTAAAATATCCCCAAAATTTTGGGATATTACACCTTGTTTATTTTTCGAGAGTTTTATGTCTTTATTACATCTCCTTTGTAGGAAGCCATGCTGAAGTTGTTACAAATGATGAGATCGTTTTTCTAGTTTTTAAGAAATTATTCAAGGTACACAATTAAGCATACTGTCCTTTGTTCCACTAAATATTAGATGCTCATATCTGCCAATTTTCATTTCTGAAGGAAAGATTATGGAACGGACCGCTTTTCGTATTGACCATATCTCATTAATGCTATTGTAATGAAATTAAGCTAATCCAGATTGTAGTGCTTTGTAAATAATTATCAAGCAAATAACAGTCAAACTAAACATATAAAAGTTGTCCCAACATTATCAAATGACATTAAGTTCCTTGAAAATGGGCCCCTTATCAAATTTTGAAAGTGTTCCTGTCTGTCATATATCCATTTAAGTAATTCATAACTGTGGGACTCATCTGATATTAATTAAATTTTCTTCTCTTGTTGCAGCGACGCCCACCTCTGGATGTTAGGAAAGGAAAGCTGTATGTGGTAATTGTTCCTAGCCATGATTTCTAGTACAGAAGGCAGTCTCCTTCTGTTTGCATAATCCAGGTGTCTTGTTATATTTTCTTATGTATGGACTTACACTGCCCTGTAATGAAATGCCACCATTGTGGAAACGGTAGCCTCATAGATAAAAGGTTCAAAAGCAGCGCAATTGTATCCCTGATGAACATTACGTGTAGACACTGTCGGTAAGTAAAGTATCAACAGTTACTCTCTCCACTCTTTTTTTTTTTTTTTGAATTTCACATCCGTGTCAGTGGTATTCTTCTTGGCTTGATTTTGTTGTGTGATGATTTTGTGTGGCAGAAACCATGAAATCTAATTTATCTACCTTTTCTGGTTTCTTGTTTTTTTCTTGTTAGATGAGTGAACTTGGGACAAGAACACTGACCTATACCTTGTGGAATCAGTCAGCTACCTAGATAGAGAATAATTGGCATCCTGTTACATTTAGCTATGAAGATGCAGACCCTAAACGGATCAATGAAATAAAGGTTATTACTTCTCATCCCTAATGTTACTTGCTTTTCATCCAGTCCACTTCTTTTTGATCAATTCATTTTTCCATGCTCCTGATGGTATTTTAATCTCTCAAATTTGACCTTCATTGGGGGTTTTGTTTTCTATATTTCACTTTCTCGGATCTTCTTACTCTTGTTATTTTATTGAACAGCCTATCAACCGTGTGAACTATGAGAGTGAATTTAGGATTGTGTGGTGTTGTACTAATTCTACGTTTGTTACTTGCTTCTTCTTTGCAAGGAAGTTCTCTCGTGGAGCTGCCATGCGTCTTTGAGTGAGGAGGTAGTCGGCCCTTTTAAGGCCTCTACATTAAGACACACCTCCATGATCTGCAGATTCTTACAGCATTCTTAACAGTCATCTGACCCACTAGGTCAAATTTGGCTAGGTCTAGCTGCTAGAATGATGGCTAGAGTTTTGCTGATACACCACACCACTGACTCTACACAAACAGTAGATTACTACCACACAACATAGCGCAGATAATTACTACTTATTGAAGAAGGTAGAGTTGGAAGATAAGAAGCATAGCAGAGATAGGTGCAATCATCACTGTTCCATATAGGAAGATATCGTTGAATGGCTGTAGCCTGACATATATGACATTCTTCACACGGTAGGAAATATCTAGGAAATATGTTTTTATTATCTGGATTTTATGATATACTCTAAAGTCATATGGATATTTTGACCCAAATACTAGTTTTCCTGAGTATGATTTTAACTTGTGTCTTGTTTTCTTATGCTTACAGATTGCACTGATTACAGATACAGGATAGTTAAATAGTAGTAATTAATGGAACTGTTTGTTGTTTTTTAGTTCAGACTAGCAAAATAAAATGCCAGTTTGGGCTGGAAATATTTAAATGCACAGAGCTATTCGAAAGTGCAAACTTAAGTTGTTGTGCCATTTTAGACATTTCCAGGCTGGACTGGCATTTTATTTTTCCAATCCAGACTAAAAAGAACATTTCTATTAATAGAATATCAAGTTAACATGTAATCCTACAAAAAAACTAATGTCTAGCCATTAGCAGTCATCTCCACAAATTTTAAGTTTCTGTCATACATATAAACATCTTTAGTCTGTATAACTTCTATGCATAGATGCACATTCCGTAGATGCACTTGCTTCCTTTCTTAGACTTGTTATTGTAGGCTCTACAATTCTTTTTGTCTGTCATTGGATTCCCACACTGCTCTTTGCAGCAAATCTCTGGGTCTGGTCCTTGCACTTCTTTCCACCCTATCCATTGTTTAAGCTTGTCTGTTCCCAAGCTGCAATTGTGTCCCTTGCCTTAATGGCACTCATGGATCAAGCTAGTTGCATGGTGCAACCTAAAATGTGACTCACATTGCACTCGATATTCCTTCCCTGCTCTTTACACTTCCACTTTCTCCAGCCATATACAGGACAAAGCATCAATTGCCCTTCAGGTTATATCCATGATAAAGATATGCCTATATGCCTTTCTTTGTTTGTGAACGAGGCAAAGAATACCGAATATCTCTTTACCTCTTCTTGTATCCATCCTTCCTTATATATAATTATGTCTTGTCTTGCATTTTCCCTCACAGTCAACACTATCTTCTCCCTGCTGTTTCTACCAGTCGATCTGTAAGTATTATTTTATCATAACAGTATTTTATTTGTTTATTTTTCTTGAAGTAATCTTGTTAGCGATTAGAGTACTTAGATGCTGTCATTTTTTATAATCTTATCTGATTCCATTCTTTTCTATTTCTATCTTAATTTATTTAGAGTATATAATTAGGAGATGCATTTAATTTTCAATAAAAATTTTTATTGTTATTCTTAGGACTTTGTTCAAAGGGTTCTAGCCTCTTAAGACAAATTTAGATGCTGTCATTTTTTATAATCTTATCTGATTCCTTTCTGTGTGGAAATAAGCAGGAGAGAAAAATATGAAGAAAATACTTTTCTTGATTCATTTGAATATACAAAGTGCCTATTTATAGGCATGTATAAGAGAATGTTTTATGGTATAAAATCAATTAATCTAATTATGTCAATCAATTATAATCTGAATATAATCATAGCAATGTAGACATAATCAAGGAAGAATATTCTGTAACATCGCCCCTCAAACTCAAGGTAATGGACTCTCCATGCTCTTGTTTCAAATTGTGTAACTCTTCTCACAATTGATATTGACTGGATAAATCAGAAGTAGTATACCTGGCTGCAAGCAAGTCCCACACTTCTTTAGTTGTTTCATACCATCCAAACTGAAGGTGAATGGAAGGAATTGAGGTGTTACAAAACCAAGTGATGATCTAATGATTTTTGCTATTCCAATCCTCCAGATGGTCAACATACTTTTTATCTATCTCATCAGTAGCTTTCTGTGGAAGTGTAATCTCACCAGTAATATACCGCCATAATTTTCGACCCTTCAAGAAACTGTGCATACTTTGAACCCACAGTACATAATTTGAACCATTGAGAATGGTTGAAATTGGTTGCGAAATATCAGATTTCTCCATAATTAAATAAAAAAAGGATATGCTGTAAGAAAAGAAAATCTGACCGAGCAGAGCACCGGGTCGAAGTGGAACACCGAAAAAGATGGGAGTGATTTCGGATGACAAAGATTTGTGCAGCAGGAATTTCGACTGATATATGGCTGATAGCAACAATCACGACAGCCAAATCTGGGCGAAAGATCAGAGGAACCCGTAGGAGAACAACAGCAAAATCCAAAACTAATTTTGCGAGTGGAACACGATTGAAACAAGTGGAACACGATCGGAACAAACACCACTGGAACAAGTGATGGTGGTTGGCACGAAACACTGCTGATGTAGAGAATTAAAAACACAAAATCTTAAAGAAATAAAAGAGCCCGCTGTGCTCTGATACCATGTGAGGAAATAAGCAAGAGAGAAAAATACGAAGAAAATACTTTTTTTGTTCATTTGAATATACAAAGTGTCTATTTATAAGTTTGTATAAAAAAATATTCTATGGTACAAAATCAATTAATCTAATTATGTCAATCAATTATAATCTGAATATAATCATAGCAATGTGGACATAATAAAGGGAGAATATTCTATAACACTTTCTTTTTTATTTCTATCTTAATTTATTTAGAGTATATAATTAGGAGATGCATTTAATTTTCAATAAAATTTTTTATTGTTATTCTTAGGACCTTGTTCAAAGGATTCTAGCCTCTTAAGACAAATTAAGATACGCATATAATACCTCTTTATAGTAATAAATATATAAATAATAATTGATTTTATTTTATTAAATAAAATTATTCAACAAAAATTACATACAAAAATCAATTATTATTATTATTCATCATGTTACACTCTCTTTTCAATTTTAATAGATTTAATTTTTAATTTAAGATATTTAAATTTAGATTCCGTTTAGTATAGTTTTGGTTTTGGGGTCTTGGTTGTTAATTTTTATATATTTATAAATTAGTAACTAGTACTATATTTGAATTAAATTTACTAAATTTAAATTTTTACACCCCCTCAGATCAATTTTAATAAACCTAATTTTTTAATTATGGTGTTTAAATTTAATTTTTTACTTTTTACTTTTAAGATATCTTTTCATATATTTATTCTTATTTTTCCCTCATTTTAAATGATAATAATAACATATATAAAATAAGAAATTTTATTTAGGTCATACTTGATTAGGGATAAATATAAAATTTTATCAATAAATTATTACACTCCTATTTTATTAGATAAAAAATTAGATCTATTAAAAATAAATAGGGGAAGTAATAAATTTTGATTTCTAAATATAGTAATAGTTGCTAAATATATTAAAAAATAAAAACTCAAAACTCAAAACTCCAAACCATACTAAACCATATCATAGTTGAAAATTTTTAAATTATACTATATTGGAAATGTTTTCTTCTGATTCTTAATTTTCATTAACCATGGCAGCTTTTCTCTGTTCTACTTCTGGGAATCAGTCTTGTAGCTAATTGTTTTGCAGTCAAATGTATTAAGCTTTTCTCATTTTTGTTAATGATTCTATATCTCATTGTAGCTAGGTTCATCACCATATACCAAAATTAAGGTTTATAAATACAAATTGTGTATATTGAGTACGTTTTTCAGGCTCAAGCTTGACTCCAACAGCATAACACAAAAACTGGGCTAAACTCATACTTGGGTTGTTAAAAACTAAACGTCAAGGAGCAAGCTGGAGTTTGGCTTAGAATTTTTTTAATACTAAACTTGTATCTAATAAGAAAATTAATTAAACCTTAATCAAGATTAAATAATCAACCTTATTATCTCCTCAATCCTAGCTTGTCAGGTTACTCTTCTTCGTTTTTTAGTTTTGATTTGTTTTTATGATTTGATCCTCCAAACCGAACATACTCTTTTAACTTCACATCCCAAAACCTGTTATATATAATATTTAATTCTGAAAGATTGAAACTATAATCTATCATGTAGGATATACAATCTGGAAGGTTGTTTTTGTACTGGACTCAAGGTGGATCTAGGTATTTACTAAAGTTGGAAAAACTTTAGTTAGAAAGTAAGCAAAACAAACTAAAGAAGATGGTGTTCTTAGATGCTGAAAGCATCAAGGAGCTATGGGATACATGGAATATTAGAGGACTGATTATTCTAAGCCTCTTGGTGCAGTCTTTTTTTTAGTTCTGTTTGCATCCATGAGGAAACAAAGAGGGGGGAAATGGGTTGCCATGATATGGGTGGCATGCTTGCAGACTGGGTTGCTACATTACTATTGGACTCATCTTACGCACTGGAAGTAGTGACATCCTGGTTTTACGGGCACCCTTTCTTTTGTTGCATCTTGGTGGCCCTGACAGCATCACCTCCTACTCTCTGGAGGATAATGAGTTATGGCTTAGACACTTGCTTGGGCTTTTGTTACAGGTTGGATCAACTATATATTTTATCCTTCAGTCTTTCTCACAAAAGAAGCTTTGGCTCCCAAACATCCTAGTGTTACCATCGGGCATAATCAAATATGCAGAGCGGAACTATGCTTTTTATCTTGCAAGCTTTGAGCGTTTTGGAAGTAGTTGGGTGCCTAGCGATTGGGCTGCCGGACTTCCCATTCCAGTGCAATTCCAAAACTTGGGAACTGCAGATCATCTACCCCGAATATTACCAGTAGATATTGACATTCATATGGACAGCTTTCTTGTAGATTCTGATCCTAAGTCGATATTACAAGCAGCAGTTTACTTGCTTGGATCTATCAAGAATCTACTTCTTGGCCCAGTTCAATCTAGACAACAAACTGCTAAAAGTTTTGCAAACTTTCTAAGCAGAAATACGGATCGTGCTGCAGAAAATGCACTCCAAAAGTTGGAGATTGAGCTAAGCCTCTTGAATGAGGTACTCCACACCAAGTTGCCTGTGGTTGTTTCCAAGATTGGATGCGTATGTCGCATCTTGAACTTGGTTTGCATCTTGGGAACCTTGCTTTCATTCTCATTAGTTAAGAAGCACTACAAGCTGGAGGAGTTTGATACGTGGCTAACCTTTGGATTGTTGATTGGGGCCTTGGCATTGGATTTCATATCTGTCATTTTACTTGTTTTCTCCGATTGGTTTGCTATTGCTCACTTCCATATTATGGAATTCAGATCCCTCCCCATATTCATCACTAGATTTATCAACATCAACAAATTTATCAACAGGCACAGATGGTTTAATGAAGTTCCGCAGTTGAATTTTGTTACTTATCTTGTGAAGGACCATCCAAATTGGTTGAAAAAAGTGGCAGAATTTCTTCTCTTGAAGAGTTTGTTAGAAGCCATAAAAGGAATCATATGTCAGTCCTCCCAAAATTTTAAAGAAGACCCACATTGGCGCTTCATTTTTGAGGAAGTGATAAATTTTTGCAAGACAGTGCCACGAATCAAGGAAGTTTGGTTTGAAAGAAGCTTCAAAATTCTTGAAGAATTTTCAATTTCGGGGCCTGTTGAAAGGATCATCAAGGAGTCTGATTACACACAAATCCTTCTAACATGGCATATAGCCACAGAATTATCCTTCCGAGGAGAAGATGAACGATGCTCTTCAACAGGAAGTAATGATCATAGAGCAATATGCAAGCTACTTTCAGATTATATGTTCAACCTTCTAATGATGAAGCCTGCTACGATGGCAAGTGTGCTGAACGACTGGCAAAAAAGTATTCGATGACACATATGCAGAAACCGAGTCATTTCTAAGCCGGAGTTCAGTCTTAAATGAAAAGGATTCCAGCAGAAAAATCCTTTCAACTGACTTTGACGAGTTGGCCAAAAAAGTTGAGTTTGGGGGTGACTTTGATGCTGACTATCAGTTGACTAGTAGAGATGATGGAAAAAGATCTGTGTTATTTGCTGCTCGAGAGCTCGCCACCCATCTCAAGCGAACGGATGGTTATCCCTGGGAGAGAATAAGCTGGGTTTGGGTGGAACTTTTTTTTTTTTTTCTTTGAAAAGCAAAAGAATTTATTAAATGTGGAATACTGGGGGTATTCCAACCCATAGCTTACATACATTAGCAGGTGAAAACGATTTTCTTAATCACCGGCTTCTGTAGAAAAAATGTAACAAATTAAAGTCCTTGGGAAAAGGGTCCAGTTCAAACTCTTTCTTTCATGTTGACATTGCTCTTTAAACATTTGGTTGGGTTTTCGCACCAATCTTGTAAAGAGAACCCATCCATTCCTGCAATATTTTTTGCCCAGTAAAAAGATCGAGTTTGAACTAGTTGAAAAAGGCAGTCTACATTTGCTTCCTTTGCATTAAAAATCCTATCATTCCTACCCAACCATTGTGTCCAGACCACTGCAAACCAGATGATATTCCACCCTCTATCAAGTATTTTTGGGCCCCCATTCCATTTGTGTTGATCCAGAATCATCATACATGAGTTACCCAACACATATTGCTTTCCCCACCATTTGTAGCATTTCATCCATAAATCAAAAGCCAAGTTGCAATTAACAAACAAGTGGTCGGGTGTTTCCACTAGTGTATTACACCAACAGGATCCTAGCTTTGTAATGTCCTTTAAGATTCCATGATTTGCTAAATTATCCTTTGTTGGGAGTTTCTTATGAAGTAATTGCCAACAAAAAGCACTTACTTTAGGTGGGATGGAGGCCTTCCACATCCTTTTGAACTCTCCAGCAGGTCTATTGTCGCCCTTTAAAAGTTGAGCATATGATGACTTAGTTGTGTATTTCCCTGAGGTTTCCAATTGCCAACACCATTAGTCTTCTTTGTTTTGTGTTGGGTGAGTTGTCCTGATCATCTCCAGAAGTTCTGTTTCCATTTCTTCCTCCCATGGACGCAATTGACGTTTCCATGATAGTTTCCATTGCCAGCTCCCATTGATCCATGTTCCCATGTCTTTCACGTTGGAATTTTCACCTGTGGATAACATAAACAAGCGTGGATATTTGATAGAAAGAGCACTCCCTCCTACCCATTCATCCGACCAAAATTTCACCATTTTACCATCCGCTAATTCCACCTTAAAACCTAAGCTCAACCAATTATTCTTAATGCCCTCCCCTTTGTCTATTTTGCACACATCCCTCCACCATCTTGAGCTTTTTGAATTGCCCTCCCTTAAGTAGGATAACCAATTCCCTTCTTTATACCCATATTTTTCAAATAAGACTCTTCTCCACAAACCCCCTTTCTCCATGAGCAGTCTTCCCCACCATTTTCCTAAGAGTGACATATTAAAGCATGACATGTTCTTAATACCCAAACCCCCTTCAAGCTTGTTTTTACATATCTCTTCCCAAGCTACCCATGCAATTTTTTTCTTCTCACCGACCCCTCCCCATAAAAATCGTCTCCTAATTTTGTCTAACTCACCTATGACACTCTTTGGCAAGAGATAAAGAGACATAATGAACACCGGTAGACTGGAAAGCACAGCATTTATGAGAGTAATTCTTCCTCCAAGAGACAGGTACCGACCCCTCCACGAAGCTAATTTTCCTTTAAAGGTTTCAATTAGTGGCTTCCATGTAGCTAGTCTTCTAGGGTCTGCTCCCAAAGGAATACCCAGATATGTGCAAGGAAGAGATCCTGATTTGCAATTCAGTAGACATTTCATTTCCTTTTCCCATA